CTCCCTGCTAAGCAGCACTGCCCTCTCCCATGCCAGCCGTCCTGGGGGTCCTGCTCACCTCACCGGGCAGACCCCGGTTCCCCGGGCAGGATGTGCGTGGGGGTGTGGGGGGTCCGGGGTGACCTTACCTCCAATGGGGGCAGCGAAGCAGCAGCCAACACCAACGGCGCAGGCGGCCGCCAGCATTTCTATGTTCCTTGCCTCATTCTGCGAGTAAGCCAGGAGTGAGCGGGCACTGCCCTCCCACCCCCCACCTGGGGCACTGCCAAACCTGCTGTGGAGCACAGGTGGAGCCCCCCTGGGCCCAGTCCACCCCATTCACCTTGTAGATGCCCCCAAAGAGGGAGAGAAAGCGGCTGATGCTGGCGATGTGGACGAAGGGACCCTGCGAGGACAGTGTGGGGGCTGAGGACAGTGCCTCCACCAGCCCCCTTCCTGCCCTGCCCTGGGCACTACCCTCACCTCCTTGCCCAGGGGCATGCCGCTGCCCAGGGCACATGTAAGCCCGATCACCTTGGCCACGAAGGTCTTGAAGGTGAGGTACTCCTTCAGCACAACGCCCCGCAGGATGGTCTTCATCTCAGGAATCCCCGAGCCTGGCACCACGGGGACTGCCCTGACCCATGGCCATGGAGGGGGGATACTGGGGACCCCCTGCCCAATAGCTCTGGGGGGGAATCCTTGACGCTCTGCCACACCTCACTGCCATAGGGAGACCCCAGAGGCACCTCTCCCCGCAGTACAGTTGGAAGGAATAGCCTCATGGCCATGGAGGGACCATTCAATTCATAGCCCCGTGGGGACCCCAATCCCATAGCCTCCAGGAGACCCTCTGCAGACCAGCTCTTAGCCCTAGGAAGAACCCCAAGATCCCTAGCCCCATAGCCCAGGAGGACATCCACCCCATAGCCCCTAGGAGACTCTCTGAAGACTAGCCCATAGTCCCAGGAAGACTGCTAAGACCTCCAATCTTACAGCCCAGGAGGTCATCTATCCCATAGCTTGCAAGAGACCCTCTGAAGACCAGCCCATAGCCCTTAGACGACCTCCAGGACCCTCAACCCCACAGCCCACGAGGACACCCAGGCAGCTCCCAGCCCACAGCCCCAGGGAAGGTACACCCCATTAGGGTGCAGGCAGCCCCCCCAGTGCCCTACCCACGGCCTGGGGGGCGAGGATCTGGGTGAAGCCAGCCGAGAAGGTGATGAGCACGGTGGGGTAGGTGACCCAGGCCAGGTACTGCAGCAGCATGTTGGTGTCCAGGCCCCCGTACATCCACTTCTGGGCTGTGGGCACAGCCAGCCAGGCGGGTCACAGGTGGCAAGGGGCATGGCCCAGCCCTGTGGCACGGCCACCCCATGCCCTGGCATAGCCTGAGGAACCCACCAGTGCCCACTCACCTTGGAGGCAGGTGGCAATGGCAAAGTCCATGGCCCAGCTGACCAGCGCCATGACCAGCCCCAGGAGGATGAGGAAGACCCAGTCCTCGCCCACCTTGGAGATGAGGAACCGCTGGCATTGCAAGGCGCAGACTGCAGGCACAAGGGCAAGCTGAAGGCCAGGCGCCCCAGGGATGGGCACACCAGGGTGGTGGGGCCAGGCTGGCAGGCACATAACCGCTCACAACCGGCAGCACCGACCCAGCACTGCTTGCACCGTCCAGCGCAGGAGCGTGACCATGCCAGCCATCGCAGCTGGCGGGCAGGACCAGTGGGCTCTGGCTGTGCCCAGTCACACATGGTGCTGCCGGGCATGCACCTCCCCCCAGCAGGGCTGCCCTGGCATGGCCCCAGGTAGAGGGGCTGGGGGCCCCCATCCCTGCGGCGTGCCTGGTTATTTTGGGCCATTGTGTCCCTGCTGCCCGGTGGGCAGGTGGCATTGTCCTCGGCGCCGGTGTCCCATGACAGCCAGAGAAATCCTACCCGCTGCCGCTGTGGCAGAGTGGGCAGCTGTGCCCAGACCACGTGCTGCTGTGGGGCTGTGCCCACCGGTGTTCCGCCCCACACCCTCCTTTGTGTTCCCATCCCCGGTGGCCCTTACCGCGGCAGGGGGCACAGCGGCCCTGGGTGTATTCCAGTAGCTCGGAGGGGCGGCGTGGCTGGGGGATGCCCCCCTCCCCCTCCTCCTGCTTCAGCCGCAGCCGAGCCTTGGCAAAGGTGCCCAAGTCCTGCGTGTAGCGCCCATACATCTGGGGGAGAAGGAGTGGGTGGGAGTATCAGGGGGGCTGGCAGCCCAGCTTCCATGCCCGAGTGGGGAAACTGAGTCAGGGGAGCAGCAGGCACGCTGGCATAGCCTCCCAGCACCAGGGGGTGCCAGGCGAGGGGATAGGCAACTGTGGCACCCCCAGGGGAAGGGGCAACAGTGTCTTCGGGGGTCCCCAGCTGCCCACCGGGGCATGGGAAGGGGCCGGGCAGATAAGACTTCCAGGGATCGATGGCTGTCATTTTTCCCCCGTGCCCA